AGCCAATACAATGCATACAAAAACACAAGTCTCTCCTCTTTATTATATTAGTATAGATTATTTTAATTTACGTAGTATAGATTATTTTATTTATTTTTTTAGCTAATTTTTAGTATTAAAAAAAATGTTGATTCAAAATGCTTCCAAATTCAAATTCAATGCTCTATTGGTGCCGGGTGTGATTATTAAAAGATTGACGTTTTTCTTATGTTTCATGTAAGCTCCTTCTAGTTGTTTCTGCATTGTATGAAAATGTTGCAGAGCTATTGTTTTTAATGTTTTATTGTAAACCTTCTCGTGATGTTTATCCAACGTGCCAAGTTAAATGTTTATTACCATTTATTAACGTTCAATGCGAAAATTGTAATTAGTGAGCAATGTGCGCTTGCGTTCTCGACACCGATTGCAGTTAGCTCACGAGCGTCGTAATGCACAAACACGATTCGGATTTCGTCTGTGTTCTGTTTATACTTTTGTTTACATCAAATAACTTTGATATTCCGTACTTAAGGTGAGTTTTTATTACAATTAGTTTAAATTCTAAGTTTAAATTAGATCTCTTGTATATATAAAATTCGTTTAACGTGTTTATTTTATAACTAACTTTCGCCCGCGCGTAAAATTAAAAAAAAAGCAAGTAGCCTATGTGTTCTCCCAGACTATCCTCTACGTCTTTGCCAAATTTCATCGAATCCGTACACCCGTTTAGGCTACAAACTTTAACAAACATCCATCCATCCATCTAAACTTTCGCATTTATTATAGTATTAGTAAGATTATAAGCACTAAAATTTTATATTGCGCTAATTTAAAAATAGTGTAGCTGGTAACTCATGAATAGGAACCAGAGGCGATACTGATCAATTTAATGCGTAATGTATTCAGGCAATTGCTCGTTACTTTGACCAATGAATCTCGATAATAGTCAGTAGGCACAAAGCGTCCGTACAAAGATACATTCTCTTAATTTGATGATTTATCATCTAAACTGGTGAACGTCTGCGTTAAAACGATTTATCAAAATAAAAATACGAAGAATGTAGAATTTAGAATCAGAAGAATGCAAAGCGTTCCGTATTTAATATAAAAAAAATTAAACTATTGAACGTAGGCCTCTTTCGATTGCAACGAAGCTCATTCCTGTCCTCCTCCTTCCAGTGCACTGCTTGTATTAGTTACTCTTATAGTAATTTAAAAGTGTTGAATGATTTTTTTATTTAATTCTAGTTCACGTGTTCGGAAAAACTAATTGACTTCAAGTTTTCGACACAAAACGCAGTCCTTGATTAAATATCAAACTATTTTGAAGCGTGTATCTAATAAAACTATGTAGAGAAACCGGCGCACTACGCTGACGTAGCTGGAAAAATAAAACCGGCAAAGACCAGTTTTATTTTTAATCTGTAAAAATGTCAACCACCTTCCTCGGTCTGATGAGAACATTCCAATGCAAGTTATGCGATAAATATGTCATAGCAACGGTTTCCTTAATTATGTCACAAAATATCAAATCGTACATGTATTAAAGATAATATTGCGTTAATTATAATCTATTTTGAGGATATCGTTAAAACTTATTTTGATATTAATTGAAATAGTTAATTCAACCATGAATGTCTTGAATAGAGCGTCAGTTGCTCAGTGGTTTAAGCACTTGACTTATAATCTACAGGTCTTGGGATCGAATCCCGCCATGTACCAATGTGATTTTCGATTTTTTCGTGTTATCATATGTACATAATGTACCCGACGTTTTTACATCGTGATGCAACCTGCAAGTATCGCCGCAAAAATTCAAAAGTATGTGTGAAGTCAACCAATTCGCACTTGGCCAGCGTGGTTGACTATGGCCTATTCACCCTAACTTAGGGTAGGTTTGAACCCCTCAGTGGGGATACATAGTGAGCTGATGATGATGATGATGAACGTCTTATCAAAATGAAGTACTGCTTCTTTTCACAATTAAGGTATAACAACTTGCTTGCTTTAGGCACAATCACCGAAATGCGAGCTAGAATAATACACATCTAGGCTTCTTACGCAATTTTCATAAACTAAGAAAACCATGCTAATGCCATCTAATATATTTACGAGGAGGAACCTCATCCAGTCGATTGCGTACTTATACAAGAGAAATTCAATTACCTCAATATAGGCGGCGACTGGCGCCATTTACGTATTCCAGACGCTATCTGTAATACCTCGGATGCCTAGCCAGTCTAGTTAATCCGTAACGCATAGCAGGTTATGTAAATATAGATTCACTACTAACTACGCAAACGGTGTGGGAAGATGCGTTAATTTAAATTGAACCAACTCAAATTTACTTTTTTTTAAATACAGTTTGTATTTTCAATATAAATATCTTGTAACACCTGAAATTTTGTATTCTAAAAATATTGAATTTTCTTAAATAATATCTTCCAGTCCTCACATCTTGTTTGATTCGATGCTGATATAATCTACTATAAAGATTTCCTATTTTTCACTGGAATTTAGTTCGTCACCAATGGAGACACCGAGGAATGTGGTACCTATGTAAATGCCTCTTACATCAAATGTACCAAAGACGTATAATGGTTGTGCAAACATCAAACATATTTTAACAATTCAAACTGTGTTGTGAATTCGAACAATTCTGAACCAACCTTGTTAATGCTGTTCATCAGACAAAGAATAAACAAAATGATCATAAATTATGCAGCATAATATGACGTTAAAGCTCAATATCAAAATGAATTTATTAAATTCCGATAATCCTGTTCATGATATGAACCGTTCCATGATAACATAACATGACATAAGCTCCGGCAAACTTAATTTTCGCCGCGTCACTTTTACGACCACCGTATCTGCAACGAAATAACATAATGCATACGAATTTCGTCATCCGTTCACTGTTTTACGAGTTCTGCAATACAATTTATATACATAACTCCCAATTTTCCCAGAGGAATTCGATGAAAGAGCTTCGAAAAATTCGAAGGAAATCTATCGCGACTTTATGATATCCAATGTATTGTATTGCTTTTCGATCGCTTATTTATTGCTCTATTCAAGATTCGTCATGAAATTGCCTTGAAATATTCTGTCGATCGTCGGTCCAATACTTTTACGTTGCTCAAATTTAATGCCCCTACGAAGACGTGATAGAAATCATGTTATGTTTCTTGAAGTCTGTCGATTGAGGTAAATAAAAATTGATGTTTGCAAACACACTTCAAGAGTAAAAGACATGCATATAAATATTTACCTTTGCGACTCCTTTCAAATAATTTTCATAGATACCTTAAATCCAAAGCGCATGGGTAGTTTCATCGATATAAAAGAAGAGATCGTTAATACTTTGCTGCAATATTTGTTGTTTCAAAATCTA